CTTCCAGGCTATGAAGGAGTTGATACAGTGCATAAAAGTTATAGTAAGAACTCATTCAACTGGTTTGGGTGCATGGCAGTCCATATCCATGTTACATCTTATTTTAGAGTATGCGTGAGGTGCAGGCAGTCATCTATGGATCAAGTCCATTCAACATGCCAGTGCTGTTTTATCATTAGTTGCTCCTCTCTACAGTGGTGGGAAGATCCCTGCAAAATCTGCAGGAGGATATTGTTTCACTTTCCTCTTCTGGACACTGGGGAGTTCATTTCTATGAAATGAGTGCACAAATCTTTGGTCTCCTTCTGAAATTACTGTATACCACTGTATTAAAGCAGGCAGCAATATGTACCATGCATTTCTACTCTGCTCTGGGGCTGCCACAGCCAGAGAAGAATGGATTTGACCAAACAAAACTTTTTTTTTTTTTGCAATATGTGCTAAATTACTCAGTTGTATCTTATTTTATTTAGTATAGTGCTCATCTTCTGAAGATTATAGCATATTGGCACTTTTGCTGCATTTTACAGAATTTGATCACTACAACCCTTTTTGAGTCAAAACCAGAGCTTGTCACTGAGCAATCTCGCTGTCTATCAGTGAGCAGAAGATGCTGAGACTTGGGCAGCTGAGCCTTGACCATTTGTAAGACGTACTAACAGGGTACTACTGCAGGAGGCAGCATAGAGGAAGGCTGTGCAAACATTTCTTTGCCTGGGCTAATATTTACAGCACCACACTCTGCTCTTAACAGGGCTAGAGACAGACACCAGACACTCACAACTCACATTAACACCTGTACACTATGGAAACATTAACCTAAAACAAACAGGCCAGCAGAAGTTAATGTCTATATTCATAGAAAACCAAACAAAACCTTTTTCATTTCCTAACATGAGTGCTAGTGCCCTATGAACAGCTCTGGCTGCTCATTGCCAGTTCAAGGATTTGCCATCCAAAGCAGCAATCACCTTTTTTTTTTTTTCTTCAGTACCTGTGGTATTTAGCCACTTGTGGCCCCAATAGTCCTATTATTTTGTTCTATCATTAAAGCATTCAAAACTGGTCCTTTATTCTGACCTCAGTTTTGTTCACAACAAGATTAAAAGACTAAGACATTTAGGTGTCTGTCTGGATAGTTGCAACATCATGTATCTCAATAATTCTCTTTAAGTCATCCCACAGAAAACAGGAACTAGCAAATCTATGTGATAATATTTGAGTGATCAGAGTGATTGATGTGCTGAACAACAGAGCTTCAATGCAGAGGGACCTTGACAAATTCAAGGGCTGGGCCAACAGAGACTTGTGATTTTCATGAAGGAGCTTGAAATTCTGCAACAGGGCAGAATGATCCCATACATACAGACTGAGAACTGGCTAAGAAGCAGCTCCACTGGAAAGAATTTGGAGGTTGCACCAGTGTGCCATCATCCTGACTAAGACAAACTGGATACTATGCTATATTAGGAAGAGAATGGTTAGGGAATTGAAGAAAGCTTTTCCTTTCTGCTTTACACTGGTGAATCTGCATCTGGGAATACTGTGTGCAGTTTCCTACCCACCAGACTCAGGAAGGATGTGGAAGAACTAGGGAGTGTCCAGTGGATAGCTACAAAGATGGTAACATATGATCCTGCAAAGAGAGGTAAAGGGAACTGGCTATGTCTGGCAGATGACATAACAAGTGACAGTGGCCACAAGGAGTAGCCTGAGGGATTCAGACAGGACGCTAAAAAGCTTTTTCACTAAGAAGTTAATGCAATACCTAAAGCAATTATTCCAAGAAATGTTGGAGTCTCCATCTTTGAGCATTTCTCAAGACTTAAAGGAAAAGCCTGACCTGCTCTGGTGTTGATGATAGTACCACCTAGAGCAGACTTTGGACTAGAGACTCCCTGAATGGACAAGCCTTCCCACCTGCTTGTCCAGTTGCATGGCTAGTGTGCACATGTTTGACTGTGAGGTTCTGGTGTAACGTAAGTCGTGAACAGCTCAGGAGACTGTTTGTAAGGGGAATCCAATGTAAGTCATGCTCAGGAGACTGTTTGTAAGGGGAATCACAAAGTCTTTCTTAAAGAGTGAAAAGAACAAGTTCCTTCTAACAACACTGTTCTGCTACTTTGAGCCTTATTTTTTCAAAGACAAAAACAGAACAAGTAGCGATATCAGCCCAGAGTTAGTGTTATTAACTCATTCCACTAGATTTTGATTAAAAGACATTTAAGTGAAGGACTACGAGCCCTGCAAATGGAGGATTGTTGTTTTGATCCTGATATTGAGAATGCATATTGCCAAAGCATCTGCTTGCCCTTTCCTTGCCTAAAGTGAAGCTAAATTAGCATGCAGGACAGCAGACATGGCAGCAGCAAGACAGACTCGGGCACATACTGCAGTACTTGGGAGCAGTAGCTGCAGAAACACAAGCTGTACTGAACATGGTAACAGAAAAATAATGGAACTGAGAACAAGATTTTACTGCTGCTGTAGTTTGACAAGGTATCTAAACAAACACAAGAGAATCAGAGTGACAGAACATGCATGAGGCTAGTTTCCCTGGATTCAGTAGCAACCCCACCAGTAGTGAAATGGCCTGAGTTTCTGTTCATTCGGAACCATCACCCTCACCCAGGTGGAGGATCACACTGTTATCAGCAGGCTCCAGCTGCTTTCAGTAGGGCTTTATTTTAATCACCCGTGCACATTTTCACCTTTTTGGCTGTGACGGAGATGGGCACATGGCAGAGCAGCCGCACAGGGGCTGATGTTTACTTTGCATCTTATCAGCAGCTTTAGATGCTTTAGAGACTGCCAGGAAAGACCCGGGTACGAGCCGCTCCCACATGGCAGGACTTTGAACCACGACATAGGGCTGCTGTGTCCAGATGGACAAGGCTTTTTCTACTAGTCATGCCCCTGGCAACAAGGTTTCTAGGACTGCCAATTTATTTGTTTTCCTTAAAAAAAAAAAAAGAAAGAAAGAAAAAAAAACCACATCGCATACAGCTAATTACTAACCCTAAGACCCTAAGAACTATCCACAAGATACATGGTTAGCAGCCTGGGATGCTACCTCACTGTGAGAGGCTTCATAGAAACCCTGTCACTAATATGCTCATGCATCTCTAAAGCCTTAGGTAATCTGTAATAAAACGGAATATGGAGTACCAGCTAGAGGCCCAGATCAGGGCCCTGCTCACTGCGTGCTCAGTTGGGCAGGCAGTATAGCTAGGACCAACACAGACTAGTACCCAGCTATCTCTGCCTGATCACATATATCATGGTAGAGTTCCTGTATTGGAGTCTGTCCAGGTTGTGAGGGCTGAGGCTCAGGAACATGAGACATCCTGCTGGGCTCTGCAGTCTGTTTGTGCCGTCTTTCAGGAGATACCTGTCCTAATTTCCTCTGCTTTTTCCTAGGAGCGAGATGTGCTGGAAGAGCAGTTGCTGTGCCAGAGCATGGCATGGTCCCTGGCCGTGCTGCAGGAGTGCCATCTTGTGGGTCCCTTCCCCAGGCGGTGCCTGGCAGGTCTGGGCAGAGCCCTCCTGGGTGCACAGCCAGGGAAGTACCCAACCCATTAAAGACAAGCATCCACTAAGTGGTGTGAAGAAAATAGATAGGGACAGTGCTATGTTTATTCCTATCATCCCAGCAGATGCATGGAAAAGGTGATTCTCTTTTACCACTGAATAAGATGCTAGGGCTCTCGCGTGCGTTCTGCAAGGTTAAGAGCTGATAACTGAATATGGATCCATCTTCTGAGGTTCATGGCTCTCAAAAACATTTCTCCTTGGGGCAGAGAAAGTTAAAAGATGCCAACAGAACAAATGGCTGATAGATTACATTTTTTTCTCCTTTGTCGTCTAACTGCATTTCAACAGAAAAGCAGTATTTGCTTCTTTTTATCCTCTGCTACCATTGCCTCCATTTTGTGCCTTTTTGAATTGTAGTTGCAAGCTCTGTGGTGAGGGGTAACTTGGCTAATATACAGGCTGCTACTCTATGATAGCTTGGTAATATTTTAACTTCAGGGGTCACAAAGCTAAGACTGTTGTCCCATTATGCACATTCTCGGTGCGCCTTTCAAACCTTTGGGGTGGCAGAAGAGGCAAAGTAAGAGCAAAGTCTCTGAAAACAGCCACCCTTAGTGGTTCTATAGGAGGATGTAAAAAACGTTTTCAGAAACAATTTGAGCAGCTGTTTCCTACAGAAAGCTGTCTGCTAACCTCATCTAGTGGCTGCTACTACATATGTAAAGCTATCAGAGTTTCAGCCTTGTCTTCCTCGCCCCAAACAGTCTAAATGGAGATAGCAGCAATTCAATTACAGTGAGCTGCTATTCAAGAATTATTTGCGAGTGTGGTTTAATAGCTGATCCTTGGGAAGGGCATGGCTGACATATCAATAAAACACAATACAGAAGCTATAGTTTTTCTGACTCTCACTGTTGATCTTTAATGGAGGCGGTTTGCTGGAAACTGACTTGCTAGGCATACTGATCCTGGCTGGTACTGGGCTAAGAAAACACCATTTTAGATAACCAGAAGCACATGCATGCTTATCTTTCTTAACACTGAATTGCCACAGGGAAGGAAGAACCCTGTTAAAAACACCTTGGTTTGTTCTAGCTGTTTATTATTCCAGTCATGACAAATAACAACAAAAATCTACATTAAACAGGAACATGGAGACTCATGTCTGGAGCAGGAGGCTGTGAGAGCTCAACCCATGACACACCATCTTTCAGCCTTTATGCAAGATAGGCTAGCAGGAGGTTCAGTCTTTACTGAACAAAGCCTGTTCTTTCTCCAGGCAGTTATGCTACACCTTTTATTTGTGGCTTTCTCTTGAGCCTGTGTCTTTCAGAGGCAATATCAAAACTTTCAAAACAGATCTCATTCGTCCTTGCAGTCTCAACGGGACAAGGCTTTCTTTCACCTTTCCAGTCTGAATGTCTTCAGAGACCATAGCTTTGTTGTGAAAGACAGAGTCATTTTATGAAGCTTCTGCTCCAGGTATAGTTTCGGTGCTCACAGTTTCATGAGACGAGTAATCTGCTCACGCTTCCTCCGCTCCACATTCCATGACTTGTTCTTCATGCGGAATTTCATCAGCTCTGCTTTGAAATCCCGATGGTGCATTGGACAGTAGCTCTGAGGGTTGCACAGATCCTGAGGAATGAAGGAAAAGTACATAATGTTCATTAATTGGCAATGAGGGAATGGTGGTCAGATACAACCAGTAATTCTGTCACAGGAGTCAGTATGTTCTCACTGTGAGCAGAATAGCCAAGACCTACAGGTGAGACAGGGGCACAGTCCACTGTCTTAGGCAGCCTGAGAAGTGTTCTCAGGCTAGAGAACACTTAATTTGAGTGCACTCAAATCCTTGGGATCTGATGGGATACACCCATGAGCACTGAGGGAGCTGGCTGATGTCACTGCAACTTCACTCTTAAGTGAAGTTCCTCAGGACCAGAAGGTAACAAGTATCAGTCATCTTCAAGAAGGACAATCTGGAGAACCACTGGCTGGTCAGCTTCACCTTGATCCCTGTGAAGGTAATGGCACAACTAATCCTTGAAACTATTTTAAGACATAGGAAGGTGATCTAGAATAGCAAGCATCGATTTAAAAAGGGGAAGATTGTGTCAGTGTATTCTCAAGGAATTTGCTCCTAACTCTACCTCTTGCCCAGAGGTCCTGCCATTACCTTGTACTCAGAGAAAAAATCCTTATAGCCCCCCTTCAGGACATACAGCTCAGGGTAATGCAGTGCAGGGTACTCATTCATGGCACGATCTTCTTCCCTAAGATAGCGACACCTTTGAATGCCAAGAAGGATGCAGTCAGCAAGGGAGGGAGTTACATCTCAGCATGAACCATTATTTTTGCTAAAGGCACTTTCTTCCCACCCACCAGATACAGTGAAGGTCAGAGCTCACATTTTGGGACCCCTCTCAGAGGAGAATTCACAGTGAAACACAAGGATCAGGCGTTTCTGTGGCACAGAAGGGAGAAGAGGCTTCTTCAGGAAGAACTCAAAGATGTCTTCCTGCCTGTGAAAGTTAACAGCTCCCTGCATGGAGAAGACAACCATTGGCCCTCAGCAATGTCACCTCTTCCAACAGTCTGCCATGACAAATACATTTAAAACCATGGGAGACAACAGCATGATTGGGATATTGTTTCATCTCTTTAAGCCTCTCTACCTATTCTCCTTCCCCTCCCTCTCAGCTCCCTTCTACCATGGCTTAATCTAGTTCCCTCACCTTGATGTGCCCCCCCTTGTATTCATAAGGGTAACGGCAGTCAAGGATGTAGAACTTGTCAATCAAGCTTTGAAATTGCCCAGAGAGCAGAGCAGCCACCTGTAAAACATAAATTGAGTATTTTCATAGAGTTGTAACACAGAGTTGTCATGGTGAAAAATAAAAGCAGGGAGAGGGGGATGGCCAAGACAGAGTGCTCTGGCTTCAGAGTAAAATCTGTCTGGGAAAGGGCCATTTCACTGGGTTTAATATACATAGAACCATGACCTTAGCTAACATCCAGAAACAGCAGAGGGGCTGCACAAGTGACACAGAACACCAGGTTCTACTAAACTCCCTGGATATTGAAGCATATTAGTGAGGAAGGCAAAGAAGCAGTTGGGCAGCGTGGTTAGGTAACAGGCAGAAAGACACCCAGTCTCACAGGGAGTGGACAGAAGGAAAGACCATTGCTCACAGTCTCTGGAGTGATGTAGCGCAGATCTTGGTGCCGTCCTGACACTGTTGGTAGTGCATACACCTAAGGAGACAGCAGTAATAGCTCAGAAAAATAATTACTGACACACTCCTTGTCCTTGAAGCCGAATAGGTTCTCAGGATTCACCCCCAGAGCAGCTGTTCCCACTTTCCCTCCCAAAATACCCCAAAATGTCTATCTGAACACATAAATTGATGTGCTTGAAATCGTCAGCATCTTCTTCCTTATGCCCCCATATGGCAGCAGGTATTTCATTCAAATACAAGTTTGTTTCACAGAAAGACCAAATTAATTCCTTTCACATTTTCATCTTGCTTTCATCTTGTTTGCTGTGCAACCAGGAAAGTCATTCAGTCATTTACAAACCAAGTCTCCAGCAGTGCTTCCTCTCAGTTATCCTGAGAGCAGGGGGCTAGAGCAAACATTTACTTTGGAGAAGTCCCCGATGAGCTGTCTGAGACCATTGTCCTCATCTAGGAGTTTGATGATGTCCATGTTGGAGAGTGAAGCTGTCTTCTTCAGAGTCGCACTCTGCAACAAAACAGCCATCATCAATTGTCTACAGTATGCAAGTACTGCAACTGAGGTGCAGTCTTATAGATTGTCAGGCTTCTTCATCTGCAGTCTGGGCTATCCCCAGAACACACTGCCTGAGCTGATTTTTGTTTGTTTGTGCAGACCCAGATGTTGCTGCTTCTAACTGCAAAGAAATGTAAGGGCAGGGACCAGACTTAAATACCACAACATAAATGGAGAAGATTGATTCCCAAGCTATCTCCCTTACCCGCTCTGCTTCATTATGCACTTGGCTGCACCTCCGTTTCATCTTTACAGGAGTTTCATTATCCTGACACATGACTATTCGTTTCAGTACTGGCCTGTTCAAATTCTCTGGCATTGAAGGAGAGCGGTACAGACGGCTTCTGTTCATGGAGACCTGGCCCAGAATAGGAAAAAAAAAGTCACAGAGGACATAATGTTGACAGAGCAGTGCTGTAAAATTTGCAGTGGGATTATGCAGGTCGCCTTTTACAGAATGCTGTCAAGTTACAGGTAAAAGCTGTTCTTGCCATGACAAACAGCGGATACTAAATTATGCAAATCCAAACGACTACAGGCAAAAGTTGTTGCCGCAGATCCCGGGCCCTGTTTAGGTCCTTTGCCATAAGGCATTGTAAGGAAATGCACTCACCTCGCTGATACTGATGTCTTGGGTGAGAAGGGGTCCAGAGAGCAAGACAGCCATGCTGGAAGACACATCCCCAGCTACCAGTTTCTGCTGAGCGGGAGATGAAGTTGAAAAGCACAGGGAGCATTAAACATGCAATTGCCACAACCAGGGGTAACCTGTGAGTGTTTGCATCCATAGCTGATGTGGAGATTATGTTCAAGTGAAAAAGCAATATACATTTGAAAAAAGCTGTCATATATCCAGGAAGGCTATTCTGCCTGTCTCAAGTCAACTGCGTTTTCCCAGATACAGAAGAGCAGTAGGTCTACACCTTCTATCTGCTACACAGCATCCTAGAACTTCCTCTAAATAACAGCTACTAAAGCTGTCCAGTAACAACTTAAGAACAGTGGAAATGCTCTCTAATGCATACAGGCTTATGGTACCCTTGAAATTCAGGCCAGCAAAAACTGTGCAGTGCTAACTTCTCCACCCAGCAAGTCACACCATGAAGCAAAACATACTATGCTTACCTCCCTGCTTACCTCCATCTCTTCTTGTTCGTTGGGGAACAGCTCTGCAAAACCATCCACACTCCCCAGTATTCTCTGTGTATAAGATTCTGTGACAGCGATTGGGCTGCCCAGATCTTTCATCTCAGACAGCAAGCTCCCTGTGTCCTTCCAGGGGAATAGAAAATGCTTATATCATATGTGACCTATATGCAAAAGTAGTTGCAGACAATGTAGCTTTCTTAGCACAGCTGAGCAGGTTAGTCTGTGAGCATTAGCTATGGCTGGACCATAGCAAAATCCACTAGCTGCATCACAAAACCACCATACAGTAATATATGGCACACACAGGCATCTCCATAGTTTCCAGCCAGAATTTCTTCAGATAGCAGACTCTGCCCTGTTCTTTATCCATAGAGGCAAGATGAGACCCTCCTGACCTAGGCTTGGGCTACCATGACACTACTGCCTTAGCACCCTACTAGGAGACTGAAGCATGAACTCACAAGTGGAGGAGTCAACAGGGCCAGAGGGTCTGGGCCTTCCTTCTGAAACAGCAGGCCTCATGGAACATGATAGCCCAAGTACTTAAACCAACTACTCTCTCCTGAAAAGGATGAGGAGAAAGGCCTGAATGTTGAAAGTTGGTGTAGAGCACAGCACCCGTGGCTAAAATGGACAGAAAATATTCACTGCGGATCCTGAGAACTGCAGCCAGCAGCCCAGTACTGAAGCTGCTCACAAACACTGCCTTCCTTCTGGCTGTCCCTCACATGCGTGGCAGCCCTTCTTCCAGGGAGTGGAGCTGCTTACCGGTAAGGGTCTCACATGCTGCTTCTGTGACACTCTGTGGGGAATAAAGTTGCCAGTCAGATTTGCAGCAGGCAGCTGCATGCAGTACGCAACTTAATTTCACCTGTTCATGAAACTGCTGCTCTAAGTGGGGTAAATGCAACTTTCCATTTGAAAGTTGGTGTAGAGCACAGCACCTGTGGCTAAATGGACAGAAAATATTCACTGCAGATCCTGAGAACCGCAGCCCAGTACTGAAGCTGCTCACAAACACTGCCTTCCTTCTGGCTGTCCCTCACATGCGTGGCAGCCCTTCTTTCAGGGAGTGGAGCTGCTTACCGGTAAGGGTCTCACATGCTGCTTCTGTGACACTCTGTGGGGAATAAAGTTGCCAGTCAGATTTGCAGCAGGCAGCTGCATGCAGTACGCAACTTAATTTCACCTGTTCATGAAACTGCTGCTCTAAGTGGGGTAAATGCAACTTTCCATTTAAATCTGTCTTCTCCCTGAGGCTGCTGTGGAAGCAGTAGTTTCTCTTTTTTTTTTTTTTTTTTTAC